TCAAGCTGCTATCCCAGTGCTGGAGCTCAGGGAGAGTAAGTCCGAGTAAGTGCCTGCCCTTTAAGAGGAACTGCCTGGGCTGCAGAAACCCTCCGTCTCACTCAGCCTCTATTTCCGCTAGTATTTACAGCAGAAGTTATAGGGACTTCTCTTCCCAGCACTGGAACCCTGGACTTGGGAGCCTTGTGTGGGGCTGGGACCGCTTGTTCCTCAGAAACGACCTCTGCAGTCAATATATCCCACCCATATTTTATCTGCCACATGTGGGTGTGGGACCAGCCTGTTCCTTGTCTCTGCCTCTCCTACCAGTCTCTATGTGGCTTCTTTAATTCCCTACTGTACAATTTCCATTCACCCGATTTCAGACAGTTAAGAATGATGGTTGTTCTGTAGTTTAGTTGTAGGTATGATGTGGTTGTGGGAGGAGGTGAGTACCGTGTTTACCTATGTCCCTATATTGACAGGAAATGCTTTCTTCTAGGAATTTTATGGTTTCAGGTCTTGTATTCAAGTCTTTCATCCATTTTGAGTTGATTTTTGTGTATGATGTAAAATAGGGTATTCTCAGCATTTTTTAAAATATAACTTTGCAAAGTGATTCCGCTTTCTGTATAAGCATCTTATTTATGATTCCCCAGTCTTATTTATTTTATTTATTTCACTTAATATGTATTTCATTTAATCAAACATCATTTCCAGATAGTTTATTTCTATTGACACACAGATTATTTAAGCATGTTATTTGGTGATGGGGGTGGTTTTTTGTTTTGAATTGTTTTACAAAAGTCTAGAGCATTTGTTATGCTTTCTAAGGGTTAGAAAGTAAGTTTTATGAGAGCCTAAGGGCACATGTTCCTTTAATTTACTTTCTACTGGAAGTCTCAAAGAATATAGGTCTTTTAAATAATGTGTATTTTCTCAAATTCAGAAGGGTACAGTTGATCCCTTTGTCTTTTTTTTCTTTTTTTTTTTTTTGTCTTGAGGTAGGTATACTAGATGTAATCTGCTCTTTGGAGAACTTGCTCTTTGGCTGAGAAGTGTGATTTTATGTAAGTCAGTAATCAAGATACAGTAAGTTTTTCAAGGTATTTTGTTGCAGTTTAAAAATATATCTGTTAATGGGTAATATAAGCATGGCTTGTAGATAGAACAGTTAATTTTGAGTTATATAGCTTATTTTGTTTTTAAAAAGATTCCATTTTCCTTTTTTAACTTTCAGTTTGAGATAATTATAGACTCAATTTTCTTTTAAGGCATTATTTCTGTATCTGATATATTATTAGTTTATGGTAAATGAGTTTTTAAAATCAGGGGTGGGGAACGTCCGGCCCACAGGCCATATAAGGCCCTCGAAATCAATACCAGCTAACATCACAAGACTCACTAAATTAGCCTGGCCAAATATAGCAGGCTAATTTTTACATTGATAATTTGTATCGCCCTCAAATGATGTTATAAATATCCAAATGGCCCTTGGTAGAAAAAAGGTTCCCACCCCTATAATTTAAATAATGTTTATTTGATTACCTGACAAGTTTTATTTTTCCTTTATATCAGAAGGTTTTCTGGAAATTATTTTGCAACTTTCTTTCCAGTATAGATACTTGTTAATATTTGTACTTAGGAAATTGAAGCAAAATGAACATTAGTCTTGCCTCTCTTTACTTTCTCAAAAGCTCTAATAATAGATCCTCTTTTTTTCTAAAATAGTGCTTTTTTATTACTACTTGCCCAAAATAGCCTCTTTGGTAGCCATATTGCATAGAAGCATTTGTTACAAGAAATATTTTGGGAGTTGTTAATATTTATATAAAGGTTATGTTAATGTTCATCTAACTTAAGGGCAAAACAATTACTTGATACTAAATGAATCAGCATTTCTGTTTTTTTTTTTTTTTTTTATCCTCACCCGAGACACTTTTGCATTTATCTACAGATAGAGCAGGAGGGAGAGAGGGAGGGAGAGAGAAAGAGAAACATCAACCTGAGAGAGACACATCTACTGGTTGCCACCCACACGACCCCAACCGGGGCCGGGGACAAACTGCAACCGAGGTACGTGCCCTTAGTGGGAACCAAACCCAGGACTCTCTGGTCCGCGGACCGACACTTTAACTGCTGAGCCAAACCAGCCAGGGCCATTTCTGTTTTCACATATACATGTATATAAATGCGTCTGTCAGTGTTGAATCAATGCCTTACTGTGAGGATTTAAAATGTGATTGCTATATTATGCACAAGTACCCTGTCATCATAAAATGGTATCTGTTATTTGACAATAATTATGTATACAGTTTGGCAAAATAATTTTTTGAAAGGTAAAAACATTTTAAGAAATGTCTCATCTTAAAAGTGTGAATTTGTGTTCTCAGTATTCTTTATTTTACACATAGCAGGCCTTTATAAATTATGATGCATGTTAGAACCCACTCAAATGGTGGTGGTGATATAATCTATGGTGAGGAATAATAGGTACATGAATGAGAAAAGAACAGCATTTAAAGAGTGAAACAATGCTATGTAATTGATATATTTAAGAAATTTCTTGTTATATATAATGTAGTTATTAGATAGGCAAGTTAGAGGAAGGGGGGCACACTAAATAGTATTTTGACAAGCTTCCTGAAATGCATATGCATAGTAATTAGAGGTATGTTGAATTTTAAATGTCAGCCAGCTTCTAGTCACTTCTTTTTCTAGCATCTATTTTTATGAACAGTGACTATTCCTATTTCTAAAAGGGGTTGATCAAGGTTTTTGTGAAATTTGTTATATAGGAAATAAATGACCACTGTTACATTTAACTAACATTAAATATATGATACCAGTGATGATTTGTGAGAAATTTAAAGTTCTGTTGGTTGATTAATGTATTTATCATTGATGACTAAGAATTCTCCATTTCATAGTTGAGTGTTAGGGACATTTTCTATGCTTTCTACTTGCATCCAGTTAACAAATGTCTTTTGTCATATTTGTAATCTTTAGCAACATGCTAAAATTAATTACCACAAATATCACTTTTATTCCAAACTTAAGTTGTTTTTTGCTAAATTGATTTAATTTGGGATTGTGCTCATCAGCTATTAAAATGCTTTGTAGGTCTTTAAAGTATGTCCAGGAACACAGGATGTTCCCAGAAGACTGAATAGCTACCTTATTTCATAAAATCTAATGTGCTTTGAGAGTGTGTTTTCTTAGTCTTACTAAACTGAATCAGGTGGCAGGTAATCACATAGCCACCTCACAACTATCACCTGGTGGCAATGATTATAAGACACCATAGGGTATTAGGGACATACTAATTTCAGAGAAGTTATAATATGAATAAAGGCATATCTTGGAATTGTTGAAGTAGGGTTTTTAAAGTCACTAATTAACTTTAAAAGAATAGGTATGATAATCTTGTGTTTAAATTTTCTATGCTTAGACCAATATGGTACACTGAGAATTTTCCATTTGATTGTTTTAAGTTTGCAATTTTTTCCCCACTTTATTTATTTTTTAACCTTCACTTGAGGATATTTTTCCATTGATTTTTTTTTAGGGAGGGAGGGCGGGAGAGAGAGAGAGAGGAACATCAGTGTGAAAGAGACACATCAATTGGTTGCCTCTCGCATGACCCTGACTGGGGATCAAACCTGCAACCAAGGTAGGTGTCCTTGACATAGGATTGAACCCATGACTCTTTGGTCCGAGGGCTGATGCTCTAACTGCTGAGCCAAACCAGCCAGGGAGGTTTTTTCACTTTAAATGCTACTAAATATTTCAGATTCATGTAATAGAATTTGCATTCATTCTAGAGATAATTTTTTACCTGATATTAAAGGCTATTATCTTTCACTGTCTAGATTCTGAGGAGATGTATTTTGGCCTGGTTGCTTTGAGCAGAGCTATAGGCAAATTTAATTGTATTCTTTATGTACAACAATGTTAAGACTAGTATTGTGTCCATTTACTCAGTGTCCAAAAGGAAAAGATTTGTGATAATAAACAGATGAAATAAACACAAGAATATTTAATGATGCTTGTTTCCTACCTTGCACCATAACACATTCCACAGGCACACTTCCAATGATGCTTTTCTTCATTCACAATGTTTTCATGAAATCTAGAATGATGGACTGCTTTGAAGTGGGAATAGGAAGGGAGGGATGATGCAAGGAAGATAAACATTATTTTTTTCCCATTCTCTATATGATTTGATTTTTATTTTCATGTACATTTATTGTTTTTGTAAGAAATAAGTATATCTTATAAAAATATGACTCCATATTGCTTATAAAATAAAGACACGGCATTTGATGTTCATCATGGTCCGTTCCAAACTTCCTGTGGGTTTTCATTTCCAACTAAATTATCCCTTACTCCAACCATACTTGTCTACTCTTTGTCTCAAATCTTCTGCATTCCCAGGCATGTCCTTAAATTTCTCCCTCTGTCTTACCCACCCTTTAAAGCTAAACCCAAATCCCACCTGTTTAAATGTTTTCAGCTCCCTCCATAACAAATTCCTCTTACTTTCACTCCTTTGCAGTGGTGAATACCTGTATAAAGAGCACTTACCAGAGGTGTCTAGTTTCCTGTTAGATTTTGAGACCTAATTATTTAGGTTTGTATTATCTTCTTTAGTGCAACATGCAGACATACAATGAGTGTTTCTTGAGTTGAATCCTTATAGATTTTTAAATATATGCATTACTTCATTTAATTCTCCCTCAGAGACACTATATAGTAATTTTGCTAGAATTAGTAATATTTTAGACTGCTCTACATTTAAGTTTTCATTCTCAACATTTACCCACTATTTTTTCTGAAGTATAGGAATTATTTCTTTGCTGGTTATTATCCCATAGTGCAAAAGACAAGAATAATTGCATAGATATTTATTTTATCACTCTCTGATTTATTTTTCACATACTATATAACTTTGATTATACAACCTTACATTTAAGGAAGAGTATTTTTTTAAATAATGCTTTTTTTCTTTTACTATTTAGGTTACTTCCTCAGAATGTTGGCCTTCTCTATGTTGGAGGTTATGAAAGACCCTTTGCACAAATCAAGGTATGATTGTGAACTACGAATTTTATTTGCTTTTGCGTATCTCTTCCAAAGAAGTAACTTAGTTTTGTAAATAATTATGTTAATAATTTTGCCCAAAGTAGAGTTGATTTTGATGAAAGTATGTCCGTGACTAGTTAAGAAGAGTAAAATTTAGAGCCATTGGTTAATATTTTAGATTATCTCTTTTGCCCTTAATATTTTTGAACGGCTTTATTGAGGTATAATTAACAGGCAAGTATAGTGTACATATATCAAGGGTACAGTTTGATAAATTTTGACATGCTTATAGTTCTGAAACCATCACCCCCAAAGTTTCCCTGTGCCCCTTTGAAATCATCCCCCTCACCCCGCCTTTCTTTTCTCCCTTCCAGTCCTCAGGTGACCACTGATCTGATTTGTGTTTTTATAGATTAATGTACATTGTCCGGAATTTTACGTAAGGGAAATCATACAAAATTCTGTGCCCCACCCCTCTCAACTTATTTTACTCAGCATAATTATTCGGGAATTCATCCATGTTGTTCCACTTATCAGTAGCTCATTTCTTTTTATTGCCGAGTAGTATTTCATTATATGGTTAGTGCAATTTTTTGATCCTCTCACCTGTTATTGGACATTTAGGGTATTTCTGCTTTCAGGCTATTTAAAATAAAACTAATATGAGCATTTGTATACAAATCTCTGTATGGATATATAGTTTCATTTCTCTTGGGTAAGTGAAATGAGATTGGCTGGGTTATAGCAGTTGTATGTTTAAGAAACTACCAACCTATTTTCCTACCAGTAGGGTGTGAGAATACTGGTTTCTCCACATCCTCATCATTTGGTATGGTCAGGCTTTTTAAGTTTAGCCATTCTTGTAGGTATGTAGTGATATTTCACTGTAGCTTTAATTTGCATTTCTGTAATGACCAATAATGTTGAGCATCATCTTATGTACTTACCATCTGTACATCTCTAGTGAACTGTGTGTTCAAATCATGCCATTTTAAAATTGATATTTTGTTTTCTTACTGTTGAGTTTTGAGCATTCTTTATATTTTGTGGTTTTGATCCTTTATCAGGTATATGATTTGCATATATTTACTCCCAGCTCTGGCTTGTCTTTTCATTCTCTTAATAGGGTTCTCAAAAAGCAGGAGTTCTTAATATTGATGAAATAAAGTATGTTAGTTTTTTTTCACGGCTATGTTTTTGTTATTGATCTAAGAAATACTTGCCTAAACCACGTCACAAAGATTTTTCTCCTGTGTGTTCTTCTAGAATCTTTATAGTTTTAGGTTTTTCATTTAGATTTAGAATCTATATAAGTTAAGTTTTTGCATATGATTCAAATTTCAAGGTACAGAGGAATGTCATTTTCTTCCCCTCACCTCTTTTTGAGACCCATGGATACCCAATTGTTTCAAAACCATTTGTTAAAAGAATACTTTCCCACCATTGAATTGTGTTTGCATCTTTGTTGAAAATCACTTAGCCATATACATATGAGTGAGTCTATTTCTGGACTCTTTTATGTTCCACTGACCTATGTGTCCTTCTACCAACATCACACTGTCTTGATTAATGTAGCCTTATAATAAGTCATACAATCAGGTAGTGTAAATCTTCCAACCTTGTTCTTTTTCAAAGTTTTTGGCTTTGGAAATTTCTTTAATTTCCATGTGCTTTCAGAATCATCTTGTCAGTTTCAATAAAAATGCTTGCTAGAATTTTTTGTTTGGATCATGTTGAATCTATAAATCAATTTGAGGAGAAATGACATCATAACAATATTGAATCTTTTAGTTTATGAAGACTAAATATTTTTCTATTTATTTAGATCTTTATTGTCTCTCAGCAGTATTTGTTGTTTCAGTGTATTGGTCTTGTACATTTTAAAATAAATTTACCTGTAAATATTTTACATTTGTGGTCCTAATATAAAAGTATTTCAATTTCAATTTTTGTATTGCTAGTATATAAAGATGGTTACATTTTATGTGTTTACTTTAAATTCTACAGTTTTACTACACTCTATTAGTTCTAGTAGATTTCATAGGATTTTCTATGTAAGTGATTATGTTATCTAATAAAGACATTGTTCCTTCTATTTTTCTGATTTGGATGCCTTTTGTTGCTTTTGCTTGCTTTACTACACTGGCTAAAATTCTACATTACAGAGTTGAATAGAAATGGTGAGAACAGACAACCTTGCCTTGCTTCTGATCTTAGAGAGCATTTAATCTTTCATCAAAAATTGTTTTTAAAGTAATATTAGTTGAGGGTTGATCATAGATTCCATCTAGGCCTTCTTTGCAAGAAAGAATGATATTATGAATGTTTGAGATGGTTAATAAAAAGGGGTTTGATACCATCCTTTTTGTTGTTATAACTTTTTGTATGTTTTCTGACAGACCTATAATATTTGTTTTTTGGTAGGCTTTCTGATTTTTCTTCACATTTGTTTCTTGGCTCCATGAACTACTTTTCTCCCATTCATTTGAGAGGTATGCATTTAAATTCATTTCCACTGCATTTATGACACATCTTTTTATGGTTTGAAAACCAGGAATTTTTCAGAATAGACTGAACCTGAATAAGACAGGATACTTAATACTGAGGAGCTTTAGTCACATTATTAAATGAAAAAATCTTAGTTACCATAACATCAGCATCTCTAAATACCTCCATTAATTCAGCTTGAATCAAAACACTCTCAAAAGTCCATCATCAGGATCTTAAGTTGTGGACTTAATATCACAGTGGATAATCCTCCGGTGGAAGTAGAGGATCCCCTTCTCTACTGGGTGCTTGGGGTGGGGTCTTTACAATATGTTGAGAAAAAGAGTTTTCTGAGACTTGCATGGGAGAATGAGTGATTTTAATTTGTGTGGAATTACATACCTGTGTTTGCAAAATCCGGTTTCCCTGAATCCAGTTCTGGAAGAGGTGCAGCTGGAGATTGAGCAGAGCTGGAAGCAAAGCTAGAGTCCAGAGGTGGAGCTGGGTCTAGTGTAACATCAAGCTGGTTGTAGTTCGTTAGTCCATTGTGTGTGGGGTCCACAAGACCGAGAGCCATGTGGGCGAATGCAGGGGAGCTGAGTGAATGCATGCCTGTGTTTAGGAGTTTATATATCTCAAATCTTCCCATGCTTGCAGTGACCACAGCTACTCTGGCCAATGACCTGTTCCCAGGTGTGACTGACAGGCAAGTACCCTCCCTATGTCACCCAGACTTTACAGGGTATGCGTCTAAATTGCAGTTTCCTGGCAAAGTTGCACAAGTGGCACACTTTCTGCTCCTTGCTGGTTATTCATAACTGGGTTATTTACAATAGTATCACACTCTCTTGAGCTTTTCTTATTCCTTAATGACAAACATTCATATGACAGTATTTTTCTTCAATTTTTAATATATTTGGAACATGAATGAAGTTGGCAAGAATCTCTTTATAAACCTCCCCCACTGTTCTGTTCTGCAAATTTATCGTATAGCCAGGAATCCTATTAAGTTTTAGCAGGAACATTTCTGGAAGCCCCCGCCCCTTATTTTCGGTCCATTGGTTTGGAAAATTCTGTTTTTTCTTATTTGAACTGAAATAACTAAAAAAGTGAGAGGTATATCTGATTTATTTACGGAAGGGTAGAATTTGTTAATGTGTGTGTTTTACATGTTTTTCCAAAAACGTAGTCTAAGTGGGTGTATGAGGATAATTCCTCTATCACTCTCCTGATTTATTAACATAACATTTTCTTTATCCAGGCTTTTCCTAACAAGACCAGTGACAGAGGTCAACCCTTTGTCAACCCTTTATGCCTGGATAATAAACTCAGTAGAAAAATGTCTATCATTTTAGAGCATCTTTTTCCTTTGATGTTGCTGTGGGAAAGATTTCTCTCATATACTGTGAAAGGATTTCTTATCCTTACTAATTATTGAAGTTCTTTCATAATTCCTATGGTTCTTAAGAAAATGCTGTATAGATTCCTACCTAATTATATACTTATAAGTTAGTTGAAGAACAATAAAAAAAAAATGCTTTAGATTAGGCTAGAGATGTAAGGTTCCTTTCTTCCCTTGCCTTGTACCTGACTTCATTTAGATGTGATACCAGTATTTGTTATATTCATTTTCCCCCCATTAAACTAACTGTAATGATAGTATGTTTTGTGGCAGAGACATCAGATATAACCTTTAATAAGTGGAAACTACTTTTCTTTTCTTAAGAAATATTGGTTGTTAAAATTTTTTAAATAAATCAAAGTAGGAAATTGTTCACTGGAATATTTAGGAAAAGGAATTTTCATGCAGTAATACACAGGACTAAGTATGAGTGGCTTGGTATTAGAGACTATGTTTGTTAAAAAGACATGTTACAATTGTATTTTTAAAAAGGAACTCCAAGGCAGGTAGAGAGAAGAGATAAACCACAGAATTTATATGCATATATGCATAACCATGGATATAGACAACAATGCCGGGGACAGGGGGCAGGATTGGGAGAAGGGTGTCAGTGGGGGCAAAAGGAGAAACATCGGTAACAAAAAAATAATAATAATAAAATTGTGTTTTTTTTTAATCCTCGCCCGAGGACATTTTTCCATTTTTTGTTCAGGTACAGTGGGAGGGAGAGAGAGGAACAGAGAGTGAGAGAGAGAATCATCGATGTGAAAGGGACACATTGAATGGCTGCCACCCGCACGACCAACCAGGGCTGGGGACAAACTGCATCTGAGGTACGCGCCCTTAGCGGAAACCAAACCCGGGTCTCTCTCGGGACCCAGGCCAATGCTCTAACTGCTGAGCCAAACTGGCCAGGGCATAATAAAATTTTTAAAATAAGAAAAAGAAAATCCATTTCATAAAGATCAGAAAGAGAAAAATGAAAAGAATAATATATATTTGGACAAATGGTAAATGAGTTCATAAGTTTGCTATAGCATGATATAGTAGGTATCTGTATTATTAGTATATAGCATGAGTCATTATAACCATATAACCACTCTGCAGTCATACT